ATATCAAGTACCTATGTTAAACTAGAGGTATACAGTAGATTGACATCTCATGAGAACCCAAAAAATTTAAAAGATAAGTTTGCACCCAAAAAGATTTTTGGCTTTTTGAGTGCTCAATGTTCCCTTAAGTGAAAATTTATTGAACAAATTTACATTTTAGCCTTTTAAATTAAACCCATTGAAAAAAAAACTTGGCCCTAATTTCAAAAGATCTACTTCCTACACAAAAGGCTTATTTACCAGCTGACTTGTGTCTTGATGGTTCTTTGCTCGACAATGAATTACTTGGACGTAGGTTCTAATGCTGGTGGCCAAATATAAGAACAAAGCTTATTTAGCGGCTGACAATGCACCAACAGATACTGCCTAATTAGGAGAAGTCTCTAACCCAAATTTCATTTTCATGACCATTTTCGTCATGAAAATTACTTTCATACCAAAAGCTTTTTAATTTTTTTCTAAGGTTTATTATGCCCCAAACTTCAGGATTCTTTGGTCTTTTTCAAGGTGCTGCAAACTATAAGAGCCCGTTCGGTATGTTAAAAATTTGGAAAGGAGAAGAAAAATCTTGATTTTCTATCTATAAAATACGTTTGGCAACACAATCTTCCTGCAAACCATTGTTCAGCGGCGAGAAATTTTCCCTCATGCATGGGAAGATTGCTTCCTACCATTTTTTGTGAGAACCCATTTTTCATCGTGTTGAGAAAATCTAAAAGACAAATTTACCCCTAAATAGAGGAAGAGACAGATGACGGAGATGATGGATGAGAAGAGGAAGAGCAACGTAGAGCACCAAAATTGTGCGACTAAACTAAGAAAGAAGATGAAACACATTGAAATATTCTCTAAATTAAACCACTAAACAGTAAGTCGACATTTTTTAAACGGAGCAATATGATCTTTTGCCCTGTTCAATACTTGAAAAATAGGGGAGTTTAGAGATGATTTGTTCATTGTTACCGAAATGGTAGTGAACTGTGGATTATGAAGATTATCACATTCCCCAACTCACTAACAGCGGCAAGATGTTCAATGTTGCAGGTTGGTGATTATGGCTTTCCTGTGCTATAAATACACAAATTTGAATTGGATGCGTACTTTTTTTGTCATATCTTAAATTTTACTAGACATAACTTTCTTATTTAAGCTTAAATTGGGTAAATGGACTTTTATTGAGAAACACTTTGATTCTGGTATCTAATGAAATAAGATCCATTCAAAAAATATTTATATTTTCAAGTCTATGGAATAAAATAGTGTAAAAAGGTCATAAACATTTTAGATATGACCTTTGCTGAATCTTATTACAATATCTCACAAACTATAAATATTTTTGAGATGAACCTTGTTATATATCAATATAGCCTCAATTAGATTTTCAACAACATCTACCTTAAAAAAATATTTTCATATGAAATAGATATGATTTTTTAAATCTAGTTCAAAATCTGATATAAAAAAGGTTTTGCTCACTATTTCCATTATAGCTTTAAAATTACAAAGTATTTTTTATGGGTTTGTTGCATTAAAAACTCGACTTAGAGAGCTTTTCAATGATAGGTAATTTGTCTAGTTCGAATTTAAATTGAGAAAGTTATATCAAATCAAAAGTTGCTTTGTTCATTGCATCAAAAACAGAGTCTTACAAAGCATCTAAATATGACGTAATGTAATTCAAAGTTTGCGCGAAAAGTTGGAATGTATCATGCATAAATTATAATTTGTATGAACAAATTCTAATTTACATTAATAAACCCATGGTTAAACTTTAAGCTGTGAGAAGGAAATAAGCATACTTGATTCTGATGTGAACAAAGCTGAATTTACTGCATCAAATTCAAACTTTTTTGAGCATATTCAAATTTGATGCAAGAAAATTCAAATTTCCTACATCAAATTTGAATTTACTTGCTACTTTTCTTGTCATATTAAAACTTAAATTTTATCGGACATAATTTTATCAATCAAAATGGAGCAAATGACTCATCATTAAAGAGTTATTTAAATCCAAGTTCTAATGAAATAAAACCCATTCAAAAATTCATTATATTTATAAGGTTATGATCAAAATTGTAAACAAAGGCCATAAATGTTTTACCTTTAACCCTTGATTAATGTTGTTATAATTTCCCACAAACTACAAATAATTTTAAAGTGAAAGTTGTTTGATATAAATGTAGACTCAATTAGCATTTCAATGACATCTAGCTAAATGATTTAATTCTGCAACGTTATTATATTTTTGGAAAACGTTTGTGACTTTTGCATACTATCTTGAAAATAAATTTCAAGATACAAAGAGTTTTTAAATAGGTCTGGTTGCATCAGAAATTAAAATTAAAGAGCTTTTCAATGACAAATCATTTAACCCATTTAAATTTAAATTAACAAATGTATATCCTCTACAAATTCACATTTTAATTGACTTTATTTATGTGCATCCATATTTATAAATTGATTGATCATATTTCCTTCCTTTTCTTTGTGAATTTATTTTTTATTCCTTGTTCAAACTTCTCTATTATATTTTATTGATATTTTGTTGTTTAATTTTTCATCTAATTATTTTTTACTTATTTAATATCTTTAGTTATTTATATATGTATATAAAAATTTATATTTATTTAAATTATAATATCTTTTTATAAATTTATTTTTTGAATTATTGATTTTTTAATAATATTATTATTCTACAAGGTTAAAAAAAATATTTTTGTTTGATAATATTATATTCTTTCATTAAGGATAATATGGTAAAATTACACAACTTTTCAACTCATTTTCACCCAACCAAACCTAAAATTTTTCGCAAACTTATTTTTCATTGTAATGCTTACCGAACAAGTCATTATTCAAATTTTTTCAATTCCAACCAATTCTTCAAACCAAACCATCCCTAACACATTTGTTTGATTTTTCACAACCTTTTCGTTTGGTATATTTTCTATCCTATTAAAATAATTAGATTTATAGAAATAACAAGTTGCTCATCTATCCTCATTAAATCCATGAATTCATAGGTTTCTACATCTTTGTTTCGAATAATTTTGAGCAATGTTTTAAAAATCAGATCAGACATCAACACGAAAGGACTAGCAGGTCACAGTCTGAACTATCATATCAGTCAAATTGTTTAACCGAGTTGATGACGCAATAATTAAATAAAAATTTAATAAAAATTATATGCATATATATAAAAGAAACAAATTCCTAGTAAGTTTAGTATTATGGTTTTCCCATTAATATAATAACACCATAGTATATGATATTTAATTGTGAGACTGTGATCTTGGGTAGAGACAGGCGATATTTTAGTGGGTAAATTAACGTCTCAAATGGCGAAAGAATCCTCGTATGCCCCCGAAGATAGATTATTACGAGCTATACTTGGCATTTAGGTATCCACCTCAAAGGAAACTTCTCTTACGACCATCTTTCGATTGTTAATACGATATATAAGGACCGCTACTACAAAGAGTACTACACCCTTGATCGTGAAATATCGATTGCTTGTTGAACCCTATGAATTGCGTGAAAGTAGGATACTCCAAATTCGAGAGTCCAAGAGTTTTATAAAACGCTCTTGATGGAAAAAAATGTGAATGAAAGATCCCACTTAATTGAATTGACGTCCTGTTCGTTCAGCTCGCAACAATCCAATTAGTTCACCGGGTGAAAAAACATTAGACATTTCATCTTCTGAAACCAATACTCTTGATGTTATTTGACGCACGATAATTTCTATATGTCTATTATGGATCTGCATCCCCTGGGATTGATAAACCTTTTGGATCTTATTAACCAAAGAAATACAACTTTGTGCTATAATTAGCTCAGCACCAATCAAGAATCCCCAATAACACCATAGTATATGATATTTTAAATAAAAACAGTTTGAAAAAAGATAAGAAGATAAAACTTTGATTTAAATATATATGATGTTTAAATGAAATAAGAAGATTAAAATATGATCAGTATTAATATCTAACGAATAAAGATTAGTTTAATAATTAATAATTAAGCATGACGAAGAGGCGATGGAAAAATATGCATAAGATACATCTATGAATGCCTCGAATTTCAAGGCACTGGAAAGATAAACAAATAAAATACGTGATGGGAAAATATGCACAAGATACATCAATGGATGCTTCGAATTTCAAGGCATTGTAAAGATAAACAAATGAAATACATATTAATTTTTCAATTAAAAAAATGAAAGTAAGGGTTTCAAGCAACCAGACACAGACTTGTTCTTTCCAGTGCACACGTGACACGTCTCCTTACTCGTTCTTCTTACTTATTTTCATCATTTCACATACATTTTCTCTCTCTTGACGGGATCAATGGCTTTCTCTAGCTTTAGTCCCTTCACTTCTCAAGGCTTTTTCATCCGGCGGTCCGAAAGAACAAGCGATGATTGGGGGGTGAAAAACCTTTTAGAGCCCTTCTTTCCTGGTAACTTTTTGCTCTCCATCGCTTCTAAAAACATCTCTTCATGTTTTTCAGCAGCCTCATCTTCATCTTCCTTCCCTCAACTTCACATATAATGTTCACATATAATGCTTGTGAAACTTAACCCATATGACTAATGAAAATCCGTTTCAGTTCGCAGGATAACAATAACTCCCGACTTAATAGCCAGCTCAAAGTAGTCCAAAACAATTTAATACTCAAAACGGCTAAACTCACTAAAACAGACCAGCGTGCTTTCCAACCAACGATCTGACTCTTCAAACATTGATTTTGAAGATGTAAAACTCTTCCACATTTAAAAACTTACGTCAACCATTAATATTATTCAAACATGTGATAATTTGAAATTCATTCCTCTAAGAACACTCTTGCTTGAAGTAGTTTCTAATCCATATTCAAGTGTTCATCAAATTCTCATACTCAAATTCATCGCCATGCCCTGTCTACTTTTAAAATGGCAGATTTTTCTGAGCACGTATGAGCAGACGCTTTGAAAGTCCCATCAAGCAAGATTCCTGTTCTTGGTTAAACTAGCAGTAAGAATTCAGGTGCAAATAGATACTCGTTTAATCGGAAGGTCATGTCAATCCTAATATAACAACATGCCTCCCCCTGAAAATTAGAACCTCATTCAACTCTGAAGTTAAACTTTTTGACCCCCAAAAAAAGAAATTTAAAAAAAAAAAAAAAAACTCTGAAGTTACACTTGAGATTGTTTTTTGATTTTTTAAACTTAACAATCCAACATACACACACCCACGAACACAGGAATGAACCTCTGAACTCCCTCACAAAAAGGAGGGGTTTTGCACCGCTGGACTTGATGGTTTTTGGCAGTTGAGATTGTTCAATAACTCATCACTACAAATAATGCCCGTTCTTGAACACAGAAGAAATATATCAGGCATTGATTATTTATGTTTTCAATCTTACCGTAATTAAGTTGTCTGATCCACTCATGCTTCTTGGCCTGGGAAGATACCCCACCATGCAATCCCAACCAACAAAAGCATAGACTCAGTACAAGAGCAGGATAATGAAGGTTGACCATTACTCGTCACGGTGGGAATAATGGCCATGTTTCTGCCACCTCTGAGGGTGTTCATCTCTATCTTTCCTTTTATGAGAGTGTTCCCGCCTTTCAGCAGATCTCCTGGAATGACGCTCCTTCTCAGCATAACTTCTACTACTATAGTAATGCCCATCTCTTCCCTCTCTTCTTTCCACAGGGCTCCTTCGATGAGTATAGTTGTCTCGGTGAATTGAACTACTCTTATAATGCCTGTCAACACCTTCACTCCTGTCATTACAACTTATTCTGCGGGAGCCTTCTTCCTTGTCTGGATTGGTCCTTTCTCTTCTAGGAGGCGATGGCATCTTCAAACACACAAGACATGAAAGACATTTAATCAATGAAATTACAATTTGGAACGCCAACCAATGATAGACTAATAACTAGTTTTCAGCATTAACAGGGGGGGAAAGTTATAAATAAAATAGTAGACATATAAATCCCCTGTAGCTCTGTATCCTAAGATTCTATACAAATTTGCAAATATAAAATCACCTGAAAGCGTGACATGAATCTTCCTTCAGGAGGAGGTGGAATGCCAAGTCTCTCCAAATGCTTGTATGGTATCGGTCTCCTGGATGAATCGAGGAAATGAATTTATAATTAAAAACAACAACGCCACCAGATAATCAACATAGGATGGGCTATAATTACTTTGACCAGAATGATGCTATTTCCTACCCATTTTTACACAGAGCAACATTTTAGATTGAGATGAAATATCCTTAACAGTTGAAAATTATTGCTTCGTTCAATAAAATAAGACTTAAAATTCATCACATCATCGTTCAATTCCTGTATCAATTCACCTCTAAAAATCGTTTTCCTGCCTCCCACTGATTTAATTCTTATCCATCGTTTTTCCTTTTTTCTTATTTATATTTGAATCACTAAAAGGTACCCCCAACCAAACCAAAAAAAAACTCTATCTACCAATAGACAAGTAAATCGTCATATTGGATCAATGACTTCAAATCAGGAAATAGACTCAAATAGGGCTACAAAGCACCTGAAGAGTATGTACATGACCAATATACTTTAAAAATGAGCCTAGGAATACTATACATGTCAATACCATTATTTCTTATAGACTAACTATAAACTACTTGAAATGTCTGAACCAGATCAATATCAGCAGTACCAAAAAATTGGTTCAAGATAAACTATTAATGGTAGCAATTGTTGCTACGACTAGGATAAAAGGAACTTCATTCTATTACAATTTAAAATTCATTTTCTCTTTGACTACAACAGGAAAAACTAAAGTTTCACTTGCCTGACCTATAGCTTTTCCGGATGGGTCTCACTTAATATATTTTCTAACCATAAATGAATAAACAACCAAAAAAAAAAAAACCACAACGAGCCTTTGTAATCATAATAAATGAAGACTAGAACTATTTAAATATTGCACAAGGAGTTTTAGTTAAACATTGCTTCATAATTATATTTTTGCATGATCATGTGTATAGATACATTGATGTACAATTAGTGCTTTCATTGTCATAGAATATACAAGCTATGCAAGTGTCATTACAATCGGTATAATGCTATCATCTACTGAGTTATTTTTTGGAAAGGGGGGAGAAAACTGATTACTAAAAATGTGTTTTATAAATTATAGGATGAAATAATCAATCCAAAATACAGAAAAAAAAGTTTGCACACATAAGGAGAACTGAAACATACAGAGGAGCTCGAAATGGCCTTTCCCTTCCACCAAAACGAAGTTGTCCAGATTCCTTCTTACCGCCAAGACCGCCACCTAAGGCAGAGGAAAGAAAATAATCAGATGGATCAGTGGTACTGTAGAAGGAATAACGCTTACCGTATCCATTACTGCAACTGACCTAACCTTCTAGGAATCCACCCAGGCATCAATTGCTGTCTGTTAAAATCAACTAGGATTTCGCAATCATCAATAATAGAATGATGAGCATCCTGCATAAGAAGAAACTCAACAAAAGTTCATGGTGTTCACACTAAAATGCACTACAAGCAAAGGTAGCAGAGATGCTTTCAGGATACTTGACATGAGGCTATCCAATCAGCTATTGCGTTATTTACTAACAGGAATGGCTGACGAGAGCTATTACGGAATTAGCTCAAGATTGGGATATATAATAAATGTAAAATATAAAATTGTAACAAACTGCAGAAATCAGTCATTCACTATGATACCAACAACAACAAAAAAACTCTATCCCGCTAGATGGGGTTGACTATATGGATTGCACAACAACATTGAGCCCCATCCAAGACCAAATCTTTGAATGTATTATTAACTGAAGGATCTTGCTCAATAATTCAATATGATACCACATCACCTAAAATTATATTCATTAAAATGTTAAATGTTTCAACTTAATCAAGCAATTAGTAGAATCTACAAGCCGAGAAACATAAACACATTCCATGGAATTACTGATACTGTTACAATTAGGGAGTGCTTCATCTTCTCTCTCAAGTCAACACTCCTTTGGCAGCTGGACATAACTATGGCGGTGCAAAAATGTATTGCAACTTCTAGTTCTTAATAAAAGAGCTAATTAGAGGATTGGATTTGGTCATAAATAGAACACCTCAATCCACTTATCTCACATTTTTCCTAAAATATCCATATTGACTATAAGAGATTGCCACCAAGGTGTGTTTCCAATACATATGATTAAATAATCAACATACGTTTATTATAAATAACCAACTTAACTAATTTCTTAATTTTCCCAAATTAGTTATCTGGCTTTTATGTTAAAAACCGGAAGTAGTACTTAGTTTGTTATATTAATAGTGTAGTTGTTGGTGAGCCTCCTACACTTGCCGGATTAGTCGGAGGCAGAGATCATCCCGGGTGTGTGCGATACCCCAGACTACGAGCTCCCTCCTTTTTCCGTCGTTGCTAGTGAGCCTCCTACACTTGCCGACGGATTCTGCGAAGAATCATTGCCGACGGTGAAGGCCCGTGATGAACCGAGCATTGCGTCCCTAAAGGTCATCGCTATAGCTCTGATACCATGATGCTTTTTAGACACTTAAAACTTCATATTATTCCACCATAGAAGCCGATACATATAGGTGCAAAGTGTGCGATCAGATCGCATGGGATCTTTCTCAAATAATACATCAAATCTAATCATACTAAATCTGGAAATAATCCTATCTGAAATCCCTAAATAAAAGGCAAAATAAAAGGCAGAAAAACAAACTTAACTAAGAGAGTATAAACAGTAATGATAAATTAGGGTTATCTAAGGGTTAGGCCCAATAAGAATAGGCCCAATGTCAACATTAACTACATTATCCGTGAAGATATTGGCTACATTAACAGCTGTAAAATGTTGTTTAAAAGGCATAACATAAGCAGTTTTTGAGAATCTATCAACCACAACCAGAATAGATGTCTTAAAGCAAGACTTTGGAAGACCACTGACAAAATCAATCAATAAGTCAGTTGTCGTACAATACTACATACCATTTTGAGATAGGTATGTCTCCTTTTGAAGCTGTGTAGGGGCTTTATTGTAATTAGAATAGAGAGACAATGCCAGGGTGATGTGTCCATCAGGCGGATTGTGGATAATTTGAGAAAGAAATATGTTCTTTTTATTCATTTCACTAAGTATTGAGATACAATAACTATATATACATGAAAAAGGAATAAACTTTCATAAATGAGAGAATAAAATTCACTAAAGCCTAATGAATGCTAATAATAGCTACACCACAATAACAGAATATTTACAATCAATGCACAATATTTTCACAGGGATTATTTCTGTTGTACCTCTTCCCTTTTCCATTTTGTCGAATGAATTAGCTATTATTCTCTCTGCTTATATCACATAGACCGGTTGGAAAAAAAAAAAAAAAAAAAAGGACTCATGGGAAGTAGGCAGAAGACTTCTAGAGCTATTTCATTATGAAGGATGACAAACCTGAGAACAAAAGCTGGAAGAACAACAGGCAGGCTGCTCATGAGAAGAAAGTCCCAAAATTCTAAGAATTGTTTATCTCACAAGAACAATGTTGGGGAGTTCTGGTAGTACAGCTTCTTGAACCAGTAATGGAGTATAAATGTACGGTCAGTGTGGGAGCATGCATAAATCTATTAGTTTTCATAGTAAACTGGTTTTATTATTAAAGCTAAAATTTAAATTATCTTTAATTTGATAGGGAGTATTGAGATTATGAATTTTTCAAACATAGGTCTTTAAAATGGAAGCAATTAATATAGACTTGTTCCACAACGGTGAAATATGGGAACAAGGGAGCTTTCTAGCAGTGACTTAGTGGGCTAAAGCAGTTACATTGTTGTCCAAAAAAAATGGAGCCCAAAGCTTTTTCCTCTTCTGCCTAGGCATAATTTGTACACTACCGTTATGCTTTCTTCATTTTTAGTATTTAATTGTGTAGGAGTCAGGGAAGAGTCAAAATCATCAGGAATACTTATCTATTTGTATTTGGAAGTATTTCACTCCCTAAGGACTCATAAATAGAGTTAATCATGTTGAAAATTTATGCACCTTTTTTTAATTTATCCCTTGTGCTGCCTTATATGTATTGCTATTTGACATTGAAATTCTGCTCCTACTAAAACTACCCCAAAAAACATTGATAAGTGCAGTTCATATTTCAGATTAAAGGTAAAGATTCATTCATTGCTCAATTTTGATTGGTAACAAGTTACAATACCTCATAAGCATGCCGCATCTGACTTTCAGTTTCATATTCAACAAATGCATAACCACGGGAGGCTCCAGTCACTGAAATGAAAAACATGAAATTTACGAAGGTAAAATTCCCATGCCATGACAATAGAATTGCTAAAAGAGCGATCATCTGTTACATTATTCCCATAAAACACGCAAAAAATAAATAAATAAACAATTTGTGGGAGTTTAAAATACAACTTCGACTAAACAAGATGCTGTATAAATAAACCAACAATCAAGCATAACATTTGGCAAATGAACATCAAAGTAAAGATGCAGCCTTGTCCACCATGTACACTAACCAATCAACTTGATTTGAAAAAGGAAAAAAGAAAAACGCTCATCAAAAGCTCCCCCTCATGAATGATAATAATTAAACTTCTTTTTTTGGTGGCAGATGGTCAGATAATAATTAAATTTAAATAAGCTAAATTTTTTCCATTACAGTTGATGAAAATTTGAAAATATTTGTCTCTCAAGGACTTTACATATATTATAATTCTTGAATGGCTAAGTGATGATGAAATATATCCTCGAATCTGAAATATTATTTTCTAAAATCACAATAATGTTTTTAAAATATTGACAACCAAAGGCGGTCTAAATTTGATTATAAAACAATACCAATGTCCCTGACCAAGCGCAAGTTTTTCACCCGACCGTACTTGCCCATAACCTGAAAGGCCAAAATCAGATAATTTTTTCCAGATAAAGAAATTGTATTAGACAGGAGAAATTATTGAGGATAAAGAAATCATGCTTGACAAGGAAACCAAGAATTTCATCAGTCGATGTGTATTGAAGAATTATTATTAACAAAAAAAAAAAAAAAAGGAAAAGCACCAGTACAAGAAATATGCTTCTAAGAGATTAAGCCACGTTTAATCCACCAGTGATTGTGAGACTTGCTAAGGAGAAACCAGCCTTAATGTAGCAGTCTTCTTAAATACATAATCAAAATGGTGACTAGAAGTTTGAACCAGAAGACGTCCTAAGAAGTCAAGCTAAAAGCCAATGCACCATGACCCACTAGACTATACATGTCAAGTCCTGAGAATTCTCAAATGAAAATACCAATGCATGGTTCTGAGCAATGCAGTCTTTTAGACGGACATGAGCTTAAGCAAAAAGGTTTTATCCTAACCATGCCCCTTTTGTACCATTACACAATATCCGATGAAGCATTACATTGTAAATCTTCTTTCATCTCCATGGTAACATGCGTTCTAGCTAAGTGGCACAGAGGAATATATAATATAAATTTTGTCCCTCGACAGTCTCCTTCACTCTTCTATATTCTGTTTTGACCCTGCTTAAATGCTCAGTAAACCAGAAACCAAACCAACAATAATGAAACAGAACAGCAATAAATGAGGAAAATCCTGAGGCTTTGATATTAATATTCCAGAGTTGAATCAAAGATACAATAAGCTTCCCTGATTCAAGTCAAAGCCCTATTTCCCCTAATAACAGAAAAAATCACAGCGGCTACTAATAACAAAAGAACACGGGAAATACAATGAACACAGCTTAACCCAGCGGCTCTCCCATGGCATTCGAGAGGCCAGGTCTCTCCTCACAATTCTGTTCCCAAAATCAGTCCTAAGGGCATTACCCTCCCATTACACGCATTATACTCCCCAAAAGTAGTCCTACCCCCTATACAAGGATTCAGATTCAAAAGATTGGTAGCTAGCTGCACACTAGAGTTGTTCCCCATTTTCTGGAGCTCCAAGATAATCTCTTGGACCAGCGGACTCCCCTTCTTCTACCCCTGGTTGTTTACCAAACCTCCTCTTATATGTCTTCTTAAAACCAGCAGCTATAGCAGCCATATCCTATTCCCAAATTTGTCATCCACTTCCCGGGTAGTAGGACAGATATTTACCTGCCTCTTTTTCATTTTCCTTTATTACTATGTCATAAAATTTCAATCGCTAAATTTATGCAGTCCGTAAAGGAATTCCTGCATTTAAAAGCATTACATTGAGTCCCTGATGGTCAACCAGGCCCTACCGAAGTGACAACTCATTATCATGAATATGAAAGTGATGTCATCCTTGAGGCAAATAATTTCTCACTTTTCTCCTTTAGAGGGAACAAACCAACAGCTTGATAACGCAAAACCTAGTTGCAACAAGTTTCGTTTTATTTTTATAAGAAAATATATGCATAAAAATTATAAGAAATCACACTGTTGATGGCAGAAATGCACAGAGTAGCTCTAGCTTATCTTAATTTGACGACATGGTCAGAGAGGCCTATTCCCACTCTCCGAATACAGATTGAATGAACATATTAAATTTCTTTTCTCAAGGTTGGCAAATGAAATTTTCACAGAACAGAATGTTTACTTTGTGAAGGGTTTCTTCAGTGGTGAAGCGAGAGAGGCGGCCAACGAAGACAGTGCAATATGGGTCTCCTGCGGCCTTGTGATCGCCAAATGGGTCGTCTGCAGAAACGTACAGGGAAGTTGAGAACGAAATTTTGAGAAGAGAATTCAAAAGAAAAGGAAAAGAGAATACAGAGGCCAGTGGAGGAACAAAGAAGAGCTCGATAAACAGCATTATCGTGAGGAAGAATATCTGTTCCGTCTATGCTGCCAGCTTGAATAGGATGGTATGAATCAGCATAGAATACTGAGTTTATGTTGCCGCCACCGCCCATCCTTTTCTTCTCAACTTCCGGCGAACTTTTCTCCCTACCGCTGGACAGAGAATCAATACCTATTCATTTGGGCTGGGTTGGAGCGGTGATTAATTCCAGTACTTCGATATGAGATCAGACAGAAAATTCCAGAGAGGAGAAAGTTTAGATAGTAGGTGGTATCGTTAATTCAACGTGAGAACTAATTAATTAATTTAAATAGATTAAAAAAACAGTAACAAATAAGTATTATTTTTTTTTAAAATATTTTTACTAATCAAGATATTAGTTAGAATTACTATTATTATAAAGAAAAATTAGATAAATATGAAAGTTAAAACAGATTAGTATTTTATATTTAAAAATAAAATAAAAATCAAATAAACTCTTACGTTAAAGATTAAGAGAAATATTTGATTTGGTTTTTTGAAAGCAAGAGAAAGGAAGGAGGAAGAGAGAGGGACCGGTAAGTGTGCTTTGTTTTTTTGTTTTTTTGTTTTTTTGACGTGAAAGCTGGGTACTATAGATTAACAAGTAAACAGACCAACAAGGAGTCTAACAACGGTAAAGCAAAGAAGACTAACTTGGTATAACCCTAGTGGTTTTGACTACTCTTGTTGATTTGGCAGGCTTTCACTATTTTGTTAAAGTTTTCAATCTGCCTTGAGGCTATTTTTTTTCTCAGCTCCGGTCTCAGGCCCCTAATCATTTTCTCGATGAACCTCCGTTCATCATTTATATGTTGCAGATAGGTGGAGTATCGGGATAATTTAATGTATCTCACCAAGTACTCATCAAAGGATTCGCTCTCAGCTTGCTTTGTAGTGAGGAATTCAACTTCTTTCTCATCCCACACTGATCTCAGGAAATATTTTTGGAAGAACTAGTCTTTGAATAATTCCCAAAAAATCGAAGTCTCAGCAGCTTAGAGGACTAACTCCGTATTTTTCCACCACCTATTAGCTTCTCCCTCTAACTTATAGATTGTTATCTGTGCTTTGGTTTCTGAGAAGCAATCCATCACTCTAAAGATTTTCTCTAGCCGAGTAATCTAGTTCTCGGTTATCTGCACATCTAGTGTGCCTTCAAATGCTGGTGGATTATGCTTGTAAAAGCGCATAATCCACTGTTGTAAGTTAACTGGTTCCCCTGGAGGCCTTGCATGCTCTATTATTGGTTCCTATGGTTGGGCTTGGACTAGTTGGGTTATCTCGGTTGTTCCTAGCCCAGGTTGTTGTAACTGTGCTATGGCTGTGATTTAGCCCAATTATTCTATGTTATTTCATATCATTTTAAGGTATTTATCATAGATTTTGGCTCCTTTTGATGATAATTGTGCTTAATTTAGATTAAGAGTCCTTGCTTTGAGTTAGTGTCTTTTTGAGGTTAAAATTGTCATAATTGGTTATTAATTGTATTCAGTTGATTTCTAGGACAATTGATGCTTCAAATTGTTGCTTTTTATTGTAGGACAATTGAGAATTGGAGCCAAGATCAAAGACCAAAGGATGACACAACACAAGATCAGAGTATCAGCACTAATAGAGTTCGCCGCCGCGGCGCCAAATTGAAATCTCAATAGTAGTCTCTCGGGCAGAGTTCGCCGCGGCCAACTTACAGCTTCGCCGCGGCGAAATCACAAGATTAGGCAGAGCTCCTCTCGGGCATGCTTCGCCGCGGCGAACTCTTCGTATCAGCAACGCCAGATCCGGATCAGAACGCGAAAATGGAGCTTCTAATCATATGATCCGACCCAGATGGACCCCTAAAACCCTTAGAAACCCTATTTTCGACCAGACACTCCATTCCATCTCCTCCAACACCTCTATTCTCCCATCCTCTTGCCTCTCCATCTCCATCTTCTTCCCCATCCATTTCCTTCATCTTTCCTTCACTCCATCTCATTTCCTTCCACTCCCAGCTACCATGGCCGACGGATTCACTTCAGTTGGAGCTTTTCTTGAAGCTATGGAGGGCTAGGGTTTATCAACTCTTGAAGATGGTGGAGTAGCATGAGTTCCTAAGCTTCAAAGGGGAGTTTTAGTTTTAATCTTTAGTTTTTAGCTAGGCATTTATGATTTCCTAGGTCTAGGAATTGTAAACTCTTAGTTAGATACTTTGATTAATTCTGTAATCAGTGGTTACTGATTATCTTTTGTATATTGGATTGATTGATGTTGAACTTTGAGCTTAAATATATGTAGTTGCATGTATGCTTAATGTCTCTCTCATGATTCTCTCTTATCTTGCCTAGTTGTGTTTGGGTATTAAGTTGATTGTGTGTTTCATTAAGCCATTTGCATGATCATTCCAATTTACACATTAGGGAAGCTAAACAAAGTTTACATTAATGAGTTCATTAATGTAAGCTTTGGACTCATTGAGTTAATGAGGTTCTTATTAAGAAAACCTAATGGATTTGTGAAACTCCCAATATTTAAGTGAACTATGATTGCCATCAAAACCATTTTCAAGAGATTTCCTATCAATCATTTCCATTACATCATTATTATCTTAAAACACCAAAAATATAGTATCTTAGGTTTGTTTTCATTGCATTCAGTTTTGGATCAATTCATTTAAATCTTAAAAGCCCAAAACCCCATTTCATTGCATTGCATGGCATTTAGTCTAGCTTAGGTAATTAATAAAGGCTCTCAAAAGTGAAACGACCCGAGTTTGCACTATACTGCATAGCTTGGATTTATTTTTGATTGAGAACCCCAAGGCGAACGACAGAAAGGCTCTCTTTCAGGCTGCTATTACTACTACTACTATTGCAGCATCCCTTTCTTATTCTTGACAAGCTTGGGTTGCTCGTAACTCTTGCATCATTTTCTGTTGTTCCTCTAATCGATTTATTATTATTTAAATCAGATCAACAGGGGGCCTATTTTGTTCTTCCCCTCTGCTTATGTATTACGTCTTGTTCTCACCATACTTGTTATCTCTTCTTAACTACAAAAGGAACAATATCATTACATAACCCTTAGCTTTTATATATCACCTTTATATACATGTAAAATAGCAGCATAGTTTAACCAGTCACAACCTGTCACATACATAATACAACAGTCTAAGACTGGCCTCAGAAAGGAAAAGTAGAGATAATGAAGTCTTCCAAGATATCCAGCATTTGCTCAAAAATATATCCGTCCACATTGTCACAAATGGATGGTATGAATTCTTCCTACATCCATGTATCGGAAGAGTATATAACAATGCTACACTCCTATGTCTGCGGCTAGGGTCTGGCTTTCCCTATTGACTGTGTGTACAACAACCTGACCTGATGAAAGAAATCAAGGTAGACTATAGCATACTGATTTTTATTCCTCTTGATATGCCTACCTAAGTATTTGAATTCCTTAATCAGATAATCTATCGAATTAAACTCTTTAAGCGTTGATAATTATTGCTTCTTTAGAGGCAGTATTCTACTGGGGCCTGCCTTGTCATCATTGTTCCTAATCAAGTACTGGCCGTGAACGTAAGGTCGACTGTGTAATTGGCACTGGCCGTGTACTAGATCTTGTCTCATCCTCTTGTAACTCTATAATCTGATTAGAATTCACTTCCAAATATATATCCTTGATCTCACTAAGCAACTAGTAATACCCCAGTAGAGGAGCAAGATCATCAGGATCTTCTACTAGCAGGTGATGCTAGTCTGGGTATATCTCCCCAGGCATCTTCTTATCAACAGTTTCTACTGAGAGATCACTCTCAAAAAATGCCATACTTTTTGGTTTCTGCTCTTTTCTCATAACACAGCAAACCAACAAACAACTATAATGCCAGCACACAGTACAGTACAGTACTATACAGCACAACATAGTGTAATATTAGGCTATCACAATAATCAACAAACAGCAAACCAAAACTTTTACGCATAACAATCTTAACGCATAATCAAAGCATACTACAACAAGCCAAAACCTTCGCTCTGATACTAAAAATGTCACACCTTACTTTATTATCCAATTTTGAATCAAGTGGGAGCATTCGGAGCCATTTTTCAAGTCACTACGTTGGAGAAATTTAAATTTTTAAATGGCTAAAGTATATGGTTAGTCCTTTAACTTTCAGTCATGTTTCATTGTAGTCCCTTAACTTTAAAAAGTACACTTGTAATCCTTTAAACTTAACACCTTTAGTTTATTCTAACTGAAAATAGTGATTGGGCGAATTTAAGTGATGACTGTACAAATAAATGCTGGCAAGTCATGCTTATATTTTAATTTTTAAATATGTTTATATTTTATTTTAAAATAAAAATAAATCAAGTAAAAAAAGGCAATCACGCGTGTCTTCTCATCTTCTTTGACAAAGCATCTTCTTCTCCATACTTCTATTTCTGTTGCATCGTTCTTCCACCTCGGCAACCTACAAAAAGCAATCTCCAGTTTCAGGCTTCTGAACCTAACTTGAAAACAAAGGCCATGTGGATCCAAAGCTCATTTTGTTTTTGTGCAGAAATTATTCGTATATAGCTTTCAATATGATTTTAAATGTTCTTTCAGTTTTCACTCCAATGTTTTTTGGGATAGAGTTAGATCCAATGTTTGATGAGCCGTCCGCTAATTATTTGATGTTCGCCGTTTGGTGGAGTTGGAAGACTCGGCATCTGCTACCAAGACTGCTCATCAGGCTCCTTGGGAGTTAGCAATCGAGTCGCATGGAAATGAGTTCTCCATTGACAGAACTGAGGCCTAAGAGTATGGTGAGATTTATGTTTCATTGTGCCAAATCTTTGAAATTATTTATTGGGTTCATGCTATAATTTTGCTGTTAGTGTTAAATGTTCTTTTGAATCTGATTTTTTTCTTTTCATGGGTTATGTCTTAGATTTAGTTTGGGTTTTGCAATTATCAGTGTTAATTTTTGGTTGAACTCCATTTCACAAATGTATTACGGTGTGAATATTTTATTTTTGTTATCACTCTATCCCTTTCTACTCTTAAACATTATTTGTGCATCCAAATAATAGCTTCCAAATGTCGCAAACTCATCCCATGCTATGACCCTGTATCGCCGTGTAGTATGCACACTTGAGAAGGACAAGGAATAGCAAATCTAGGAGCTTCACAATTCACCATAGTAGTCTATTCATTGATT